TGCTGCTGCTGCTGCTGCTACTTGTAGTATTAGCATTAGTATTAGTATTTAGTATTACTATTACTAGTACTATTAGGATATGGTTCTGGGCGGTGTCTCAGAATTTTGGGCTCCTCAACTCGAGGGTTGTAAAACTCCAGCCGCCACCACCACCCACAGTAATCTTGAGACTTGTACTCATTGCACTCATCATGGTGGTATAGATATCTACATAACACTGGCAGCAATAAACTGGACGTCGGGAACAACGATGTGATGATAGTGGCCTCCATAACAACCATTGCAAAGGTCAAGATGACGATGATGGTGAACATGATGAATACAAATATGACAATGCTCACGATGATGCGTCAAGCTTGGAGTCTGTTTTTGTGTTTTGGGGTTAAGGGTTCGGGGCGTTACTAAGGCCTGTCGCTTGAGCGCATCGGGGCTTCGGCGGGATGTAGGTGCATCGGCGTGTCAGCGGAACGTTCATGCGCTGGTGCAATGGGCTGGATACGGTAGCTGTGTTGGCAGGATAGCGGTGGATGGGGGCGTCTACGCCGCGCAGCCACTGATTCAACCCTCAATCCATGACAGCCAGCATGATCCTAGCCTTGACATCTGAAGCATCTCTCACTGCATTGACCATTACTAGTTGAAATGCAAGGCTACCTCAAAGAACTATTAGGAATAAGCAGGTATGCACTGCAAGGCTTAGAGAAGGTCCTCAGTCTCTGGCTGGAACGAGCTCTTGTGCACTGCACGAGGCACCTGGGCAATTGTCCGCACCATTATTGAAAGGCATGCAGTTCAGCCAAAGTGATTGCTTTGCGATGGCCACATGCTACTCTGGCCCTCCTGCCGTCTTTCCGCATCAGGTTGTTTGCTTTGGCCTAGCTAGGCAAGCTGCGTGAAGCCTGTCGAAGTAGTTCACCAAGTCCTTGGTGAAGTTGGAGTTGAGGATCGTCTGTGGCCGAACCACAACCTCAGATAGAGGGGCTGCCTCCCTTGCAACTACCAAGTAAGGCAGGGCTATTCTAAGAGCCACCGCAAGACTTTCAAAATCTCCCATCGAACGCGGGGAAACCACTGGAACCATAGCAGAGAAGTCAACAGAAATGCTGTGATGATGACAAGAAGGAATGAATGGTAGAAGTGTGAAAAAGAGTACGACGCATACGCTGCCAATGATTGTGGCACTGAATGCCAGTAGATGGTAGCTTCCAGAAATCTGGGGTAGGAAGCCAACAACAACTGTACTGCAGAAACTGTCGGAAGCTATGAAACTCCAATTGTCAAACATCTGGCTTTTTACTTCCAATGACCCTCTAGTCTGCCCACAGACAGCATCACTCACAGAGCCTCCTGTCAAAGTATTTCAAACATCTACCAAGGGAACCCAAACCCTGGAAATTCTTAGGGTCCTTTATAACATCNNTTAGGGAACCCCAAGAATTTCCAGGGTTTTGGTTCCCTTGATAAGATCTCTTTTCTTGCAAGGCGGCACTGTTGGCCTCGGGGAGGCCCTGTAGCACCTGGTGGTGTTTGCTGCCAAGGCCTCGCACTGGACCTACTGGGATAGAACAATTGGGGTTTAGGGTTTAGGGTTTAGGGTTGAGTTTTCATAGAATCACTGTTTGGACCGAGGTTGGGTGAGGTCGTTGTGATTTGTACTGGACCAGGGGTGGGGATGAAGGTTTTGGGGTTGTATTCAAAAGTGGTGGAATAGTGTGTATGCACAGCAAGCAGGTACATGTTAATTACATGTCAGGATCAAAAGAGCAAAAGGGTTGGACACAATGCAGGAGTTGTATAATGTGCCTCATGGGACTTGCATGTATGCATACATCATATTTTTGTATTACATACACGTGAAAAGAAGAAGTACGCAAGATATTCTATAGATAGGTAGATGGAAATAGATACATAGATATATGATAAGAGTGTGTGCATAGAGTCTGTGGGTATAAGCTGGCTACCTATGTGGGAATGTGCCGCATGTGCTGCATGGTTCCATTTTGGCATTTGCAGGTTCCACGTGAAGGGCTCTGCCAGATTGGATGGTACTTGCGGACCAGAAATATGGCATATAATCGTATGAGACTTAGGCATTACAAGCCTCTTTGATGGAGGAATAACGGCTCAGAGAATAGATCGGGCAGCAGCAAGGTGTGTGCTTCCATAATTTGGCAGTTTCTCCAAAACTTGGGTTCAAGTGGCATTCCCTTCCGCATTACTTTCATGGGTCCATAAGAAAGTCTCTCGCAGGGGATGGACATACATGGGGGGGGCTAGCCCCAGATTGTATTGTTGCCATGAAGGGCAATCGAGAATCACGTGGGGTTACGGCCTCAGGGCCTCAAGAGCCACGGATATTACCCGGCTATTGAATGTTCATGGAGCTTTGACGTGGACCGGAGGCCTGACATAAAATCCTTCGCGCCTAAGCCGCAAATCTGGAAATTGTTGGCAGGCCTCCTCAAGCGCTGTCGTCGCCCGAGCCCTCGCCTCCCACTATCACA